CCCAGCAAGGAGTGAGATATGTGTGGAGGGAGAGAGAGGGAGGGAGGGGGGAAGGATTGTTGTTGTGTTGTCACTCGCCACATGTGTTCGGCGGCTCATCCTCGGCGAGGGGGGCAGCGCGAACGCGTAAAGGAATAGGGGGGAGGAGGCGTGGAACGGCAGGAGCCCGCGGGGGTGGCAGGACGCGGCGAAGGGTGTCGGTAGCGAAGCACCGGTGCTGTTTTGGCGGCGGTGGTGGTGGTAGTAGTAATAGTAGTGGTCGCGGTGGGCTCCTTCCGCGCTGTGCATGTGCGGGTTGGGGCGCGACGATGTGTTGTGCTGCGTTTTGCCTCCTTGCTTTTGTGTTGATCTTTCTTTTCTTTTGTGCTCTCGTTGCTTTCTCCCATCTTGTTCGTCGTTCACACGCGCCCGTTGGTGGTGGTGGGGGTGCAGAGGATAGAGCCGCACTCGCAACCTACTCAAGAGAGCATAATATCACCAGCACCAAGGCGACGAAGAAAAGAAGGGGAGGCATACGCACATACGCTCAAAAGGAAACCACTAGCAGCCTCGGAAGCCACTACAGCACCTGCAGTAGCAGTGAGTGCCTTACCAGATATATATATATAATTGCATACACAGCCACACATCATGTCGAGCGAGGAGGAGAAGCGGCAGCTGTACAATCGGCAGATGTACGTCGTGGGCACCGAGACGCAGGCGAAGTACGGCACGACAGATGTTCTCGTTGTCGGCGCCTGCGGACTCGGTGCGGAGATCGTCAAGAACCTCGCGCTCACCGGCGTGCGCTCCATTAAAGTCTTGGACGGCGGTGCCGCCACGCTGCAGGACCTCGGCACCAACTTCTTCCTCACACCACAAGATGTCGGCCAGCCACGCGCAGACACAGTGGCCCGCAAGGCGCAGGAGCTCAACCGCTTCGTGGAGGTCACCGCTGTCACGGCGCCGCTGCACGAAGTCATTTCCACCGTGCACGTGGTGGTGTTTGCCAACCAGCGCACCACGGCACTGCTCGCCGAGAACGCGCTCGCGCGGAAGCACGATGTGAAGTTCGTGGCGTGTGAGAACCGCGGCGTCGCGGGTTGCGTCTTCGTTGACGCGGGCCCCTCCTTCGCGGTGCTTGACCCCGACGGCGAGGAGACAGTGGCGTGCGTCGTGACGAGCATCTCCCCCGATGGCATGGTGACGCTGCACGAGGACAAGAAGCACGAGTGCGAGGTGGGCAGTCACATCTACTTCACCGGCGTCGTGGCACCTACCACGGTGAACTCCGTCGTCGACGCGGCGGCGCTGCACGGCGGCCACCACAGCACCGCAGCCGCAACAGCGGCGTCGTCGTCGTCACTGAAGCTGTTCGAGGTGGCGGAGGTGATTTCGCCATTCATTCTTCGTCTGAAAGACTTCGACACAGCGGTGGGGCACGGCGCGATCGATGTTGGCACCAGCTCCTACCTGCACACGACGAAGCGGCAGATGTTGATGGGCTTCAAGGACCTGGAGGCAAGTCTCGCCGAGCCGGAGTTTCTCAACGTGTTCGACAGCGAGGAGAAACTCACGGCGCCAGCCACAATACACGCGCTGTTCCGCGCCGTACACGACCACGGCAAGCCCCCGGCCACCCCCAGAGAGGTGGACGCTGTGCTGCGGGCAGCAGAGGCGTACTGCAGCTGCCATGCCGTTTTTGATGTCAACACTGCCAAGCGGCTCCTCTCCGTCTTTCATGGTAGCCTCAACCCAATGGCGTGCTTCGTTGGCGGCCTCGCCTCACAGGAGGTGCTGAAGGTGTGCAGCGGTAAATTCACGCCACTGCACCAGTGGCTGTACTACGACGCGCGAGAGCTACTTGTGGCGCGGGGCGACGTGAGTGACGCTGAGCTTCACCCGTCACCCAGCAGCGGCAGTCGCTATGACGGGCAGATCGCCGTCCTCGGCCCCGCATTCCAGTCGTATCTGTCAAAACAGCGGGCCTTTATTGTCGGTGCCGGTGCGCTTGGCTGCGAGCATATCAAGAACGCTGCATGCATGGGATTCGGTGGTGTCTCCATCACTGACATGGATACGATTGAGATGAGCAATCTCTCTCGTCAGTTCCTCTTCCGCAACAGCCACATTGGGCAGCAGAAGTCAACCGTGGCGGGCGAGGCAGCGAGAGCGATCAACGGCAACATGCAAGTGATGTCATTTGTCGAGAAGGTTGCCCCAGAGACGGAAGGCATATTCAACGAGGCGTTCTGGGACTCCCATGCGGTTGTTCTCAATGCACTCGACAATGTTGAAAGCCGCAAGTACGTCGATTCCCGATGCCTCTTCTACAAGAGGGCACTGTTTGAGAGTGGTACGTTGGGCACCAAGTGCAACGTGCAGTGTGTCATCCCCTACTGTACAGAGAGCTACAGCAGCAGCTACGACCCACCGGAAAAGGCGATTCCGCTTTGCACGCTAAAGAACTTTCCGAGCGCCATTGAACACACGATTCAGTGGGCACGAGACAACTTCCAGGCGCTTTTCACCAGCACGCCCAGCGACGTCAACGAGTACCTGGAAGACCCCACAACCTTTGCAGCAAACCTCGAGCGTGACCCTGCCACGAAGCCCATTGTTTTCAAAGCGGTGCGAGACGCGCTGATGCGGTGGCCAGCAGATGCAGCCGATTGTGTGCGTATAGCACGCATGCTGTACCACGAGTACTTTAACGACACATTTCGGCAGCTGTTGCACAACATCCCGGTTGACAAGCGCAATCCCAATGGTGAGCTCTTCTGGAGTGGTGCAAAGAAACCACCAGCGCCGCAGATATTCAACCCTGACTCCGAGGTGAGTCTGTCGTTTGTGTACCACTGCGCCCACCTGCTTGCATGCGTCTACGGCCTACCGTCGTTCACACTGTCAGAAGAGGAGGTGGCAAAGGTGGCGCAGCAGACCGCCGTTCCAGAATTCGTGCCGCGTCAGGCCTTCTTTGCAACCAGTGAAAATGAAAAGGAGGATCCGATGGCGCAACTTGTCGGCGACATTGGCTTGCAGGACCTGCCGCCACCGAGCAGGTTCAACGGCCGCCGCATGTCCCCCCAGACATTTGAGAAGGATGACCCGACAAACCACCACGTGGAGTACATTGCAGCGTGCTCCAACATGCGTGCAGTCGCCTACAGCATTCCACCAGCGGACGTGCACCGCACAAGGCGCATCGCCGGCAACATCATCCCCGCGATGGTGACCACCACCGCACTCGTGACGGGGTTGGTTGGGCTCGAGGTGCTTAAGTACCTCCTCGTCACGCAGCGCCGACAGGCCAGCGGGCATGCCACCAACACCGCACCACCACCGGAGGAGTTGCAGCGACAACTCAGCACCTATCGCAACGCGTTTGTAAACATCGCGCTGCCCTTCGTGGCCTTCTCCGACCCCATCATGGCGCCCGGCATGACGTACCCGCTGCCGGACGGCAATTTTGTCCGCTGGGATATTTGGGATCGCATCGACGTGAATGAGGGGCGCGATTTGACGGTGCAGGAGCTTGTGTCGCTTCTTGAATTCCGCTATCAGGTGGATCTCTTTATCATTGCACTCGCCACTGGGAAAATGATTTACTCGCAATTCGGTAAGTCGAAGGACAACAGCAAGCCCGTGTCGGTTGTGGTGCGCGAGAAGGGCGAGGAGCTGCGGGACGGGGAGGACTGCTGCTGCCTGGTTGCGACGGGAAGCATTGGCGACGTGGACGCCGACATCCCCGTGATACGCTACCGATTCCGCAACTTCTAGTGAAAAGAGGAGGGAGGGAAGAAGGGAGAATGGTAATTATTTCCTTTCGACTTGAACTAGACGTTAGAGCACAAAAACGAGAAGCAGAGAATGAGGAGGAAGGATAGCTTTTTATATTTGGTTGTGTGCAGCTGAGGGAAGAGTTTGCGGCAGATATGTTATTTAACGGGTGGGCGACAGAGGAAAAAAAAAAAAGGCGGAAGAAGAAGAAGACAAAACGGATAAGGAAAATCCACCCGTGTCACTTCGCCTTCAGACTCTTTTTATGTTGTAGTGGTGATGGCCACTTCACAACTCTGCTGGCTGGATGCTGTTGTTAGTGGTGGTGGTGGGGGGGGGGGCTAATGGCGGTGATTCTGTTTGATTTGGTCATGCTTCATCATTCTTGTTGTTGTTGGGGGTTTTTCTCCTCCTCCTCCTATTCTTTGTGTGGCCCAGTTGGAAGATATTGGAAGAAGCCCTCTTCCTTCCCTCACTTCTCAGCAGCAGCAGCAGCACCACCAGCAAAGGCGCAGTAGCGGTGGTGGTGGTGGTGAGAGGAAGCAAGGAGGGGGGACTGCAAAAACAAAACAAAAAAAAAGGAAACTGAGAATGCGCCGATCCGTGTGGTTGTGTTGTGCATACACGCCCAACCTCACCTCGCTGACGAATCAGGCGAACCGCAATGAGCGGCTGCGCAAGTGGGGTAGCGCGGGTACACCGCCGGGGATTCCACGCATCGCGCGGCTCGAGTCGAAGCCCATCGCCGTTCTACACGAATCACCGAAGGTGATTCTGGCAGGGCGGAGTCGCTGCAACAACTTTCTAAGTAACCAGTACCTGCTGATCAGCAAGGCCACAAAGCGGTGTATGCTTATCGATGCGGCGGACGACTGGCCTGACGATTGGGCCACCTTCATAGCGTCCTCCTCATTGATGCTGACGCACATATTTCTCACACACTGTCACATTGACAATATCATCAACCTGAACGCCTTCCTAAGCATCTGTGGTCGCGAGCAGCAGAAGCGGGAGGCCGCTAGTCGTAGCCCAGGTGAGGATGCAGCTGGTATCGATGGCAGTGAGAGAATAGGCATTATGTGGTGCCCCGCGGAAGAGTGTTGGGTGCAGAATTTCGGTCGTGCTTGCGAGCGTTACTGTCGCTTTGAGGAAATGCAAGCGGTGCTTCCAATGATGCGCCGGACTCTTTATACCCCGCGTCATCAGACGGATCCTATCGTGTCTGGCTTTTCTCGAAGCAGTAGCTCTCACTTCCGCCGAGAGGACGTGCTACTCTCTACCGCTACTAACCGCGCAACGTCCTTCATTGACTTTGGTGACGGTGTGCTGCTGTACTACATCTTCTCCCCGGGGCACTCCCCGGGCCACATGATGCTGCATGTCCCCACAGAGAAACTTCTCTTCACGGGGGATTTGCTCTTCTACAACACGGTGGGCCGTGTAGATTTGCCGTGGGCGACAGGGACACGCCTAGCGGAGAGTCTGCGGCTCTTCGAGAACATGCCAGATAATACTGTTGTGCTGCCGGGTCATGGCCGCATGACAACGTTGGGGCGGGAGCGGCGCGAGAACAAAGCGCTGCAGCACTGCTACCAGCGGCATGACATTGGGCAGCAGGAAGTGTCGATCGGCTTCAATGAAGGATATCTTTGAGCGGAACGAAACAACACTTTCTATTTATTCTTCCCGTGCACCTACACACAAACACACACACACA